CATACCCCTGCTGTCTGTGGCCCTGCTGTCCGGAGCTTGGCTGACCATACCCCTGGCTGTGTGGTAGTCTACCACGACCACGCCCCCCACGGCCCCGACTTCCTCTACCACGACCACCTCGGCCGCGAGGAACAACACCTGGGGGTCGGGAAGGACCAGCCTGCTGCGAGCCATATGCAGCAAAGGCTTGATGGGTGACAGAAGCCTCTTGCTGCTGAAAGTAGCGGTCTCTTTGCTCAACTTCGAGAAGATGATTCCGGAGGGTCTCAAACGGGAAACTTTGGGGAAAAAGACACACAATGTTGATCATGGGCGCATAATCCTTCCCCAAACCCATGATAGTGGATTTGAGTACCTCACGATGAGGAACCAGACAGTTAATGCAGGCAAGATCATCAACAAAAATTTTAACTTCTCGTAAATAGTTATCCATAGACTGATCAGGCTTTTTCGTTATAGTGTTCAACATGTGCTTTAATTCCATAGACCGGGCTAAACTAGCAGACATGAATCTTGACTCCAATCGGTCCCAAATCCCAAATGAATATTTCAAATCACGAACATCAATCAAAACATCACGAGATAATGTGGCAAACAACCAAGAACGAATAGTTTGATCAATGCGCAACCATGATGAATATTCGGGATTAGGGATTTGGCGATTGTAAAGATCTATGGAATAAATAGAAGGTACCTCTATAGAGCCATCAACCATTCCAAGAAGTCCTTGAGAGAAGAGAAAGGACTCAAACTGGGTGCGCCACGTGCTATAATCCTCCACGGCTTGAAGTTTTGTGGTCACGATGTTCGTGACATTAGTTGCCACGTGAGACAATGACTGGACGAGTTCTGCCATGGAAGTGGTGACAACTGTGGGACCCGGATGAGCAGCAGGGACCGATGTAGAAACCCTAGGCGATCCCACAAGGTGGGACCTGAAAATTGTATAGTCGGTTGGGTAGAGAACTGCGGCGGCGGTTCCAGGGATAGGGGTACGGCTGGAGACGCCACAGACCATGAGAAAACAGGAGGCAGATTCTGGAAAAGACTATAAGTGGATGGTTGGTTTCTCGGTGGTGTAGTGAAAGAAGGTGCCGAGATAGATGCCGTGCTTGGCATGAGAACCTGCGGCTGCAAACCAGTGGAAAAAGGTGCGCCGATTGAGACAGGTACGGTTGGAGAAGAGCTTGCCGGAGCAGAGAATGCGGTGGAGCTTGAAGATGCTGCGTCGGTAGCCATGAGGAAGAAAGCTACGCGCTGACTTCTTGAGAAGCGAGAAGTAGCCGAAAAAAAATTTAGGGTGAAACCGTAGCTCGTGATACCATGTGAATAAACAGAATAGGTTACTCCCTAAGAAGCCCTGTCAGATATATTTATAATTAGAGAGTAATGTATCAAGTACATAAATATCCCTAGTCTTAACATTGGAAATCAGGTATTTTTTATTTTCACTTCAGTTCGAAGGGTAAAAAGACCCCCTAGATTTTCCCTATTTAAATCTTTTGAGAGATATTTAGAAAGTATCATTTTATTAATATTGGGGCAAACATTTATCAATAATTTGAGAAATAACAACTAATATAGTCACTCAAAAAGTCACATTTATATAAATTTATTTTAGTCATAATTTTCTTATTATTTTAGATATTTTTATTATAGTTTTTTCTTTACTTATAGTCAAATATCTTTTTCTCTCTACTCTTAACTTTCCCTTCTCTCAAAATATCATTAACACTTTATTGGTGAGCTATCACTTTTCTTATTTTTTTTCCCTTTCTTTATTTTGTGGTTCTTTTTGCCCTTCGATTAAATTTCTTACTAATTACGGGTTGGGATGTAACTTTTTATATATAAAATTACGGGCCTGTCCTTTTTTAAAGCGACTTGTTGTAATTTATAGGCTTGTCTTTATTTAAACACATATTCATCCTTCACTCCTTCGATGTTATTATTATTTTCATTTCATACCAAGTATATTTGATTTGGTGTCTGTATATACAATAATACTCCGTATGATAGATAAGTATGTACTACGTACTATATAACAGTAAAAAGGTGAAGGGCCCACAAGAACAAAAAATGAAATACAACTCTATTGTAATACTCCCTCCGTCCCTGATAATTTTGCCAAGTTTGACCAGCACAAGGATTAATAAAGTAAAAGTTGTGTGATTAAATGTGTGCAAAAGAAAGAGAATTAACTGAAACCACAAATTATTTACTTAAATGGGACATCCAAAAAAGAAAAGTTGACAAAATTATAAGAGAAGGATGAGTATTCATATATGGGGTGTCGGACATTCTTTGAATTAAGACTATTGATTGTTGTTTTTATGTGATGTATGCAGGTAAATGCGTATGTTTAGAGAAGAAGAAACTCAGTAAAAAACTCTATATTGATATATGTGTTCCATTCGGATTTATACAAGTGGGATGCCAAAAAAAAGTGGATCGGCAATCCATAAAATAAGCAAGAGACCAAAAACAGATCCAATTCCATAAATAAAAGATAACTAGTAAATAAAGAATAAAGCTATTCTTCCGTAAATAATATTCTCCAATTATAGCTCCAATACCCCCCCTCAAGTTGGCGCATGGGGATCCAAAATGCCCAACTTGTGTAGGAGAGTCTGAAATTGAGTCTTTCCGAGGGCTTTAGTGAAAATGTCAGCTAGCTGGACGGTGGTAGGAACATAGCTAGGAGCAATGAGATCAGCTTGAATAGCATCACGAACAAAATGACAGTCAACTTCAATGTGTTTAGTCCGTTCGTGAAACACGGGATTATTGGCAATATGAAGAGCGGATTGGCTATCACAGTATAAAGGAATAGCCTGAGGATGATTGACACCCAAACTTAAGAGAAGTGCCTTTAACCACTTTAGTTCACAAGTTGCAGCTGCCATGGAACGGTATTCTGCCTCGGCAGATGAGCGAGCAACTGTAGACTGTTTCTTAGCTTTCCAGGAGACAGGGGAGTGACCCAGAAAAACCAACCAACCAGAAATGGATCTACGAGTGAGTGGGCAAGCAGCCCAATCGGAGTCACACCAACCAGTAAGGGTAAGGTCACTGGAAGAACTGAGAAGAATTCCTTGGCCCGGAGAACCCTTGAGATAACGTACAACACGAAGTGCGGCAGACCAGTGTTCACTCCGAGGACTTTGCATAAATTGGGACAAGATGTGCACCGAGTATGTGAGATCAGGCCGGGTAACTGCCAAATAAATAAGCCGACCGATGAGACGTCGGTATTGTTCAGGGTCGGAATGAAGCGGACCCGAAGCATTCGCAAGATTGTGATTCTGCTCAATTGGGAAAGAAGCGGGCTTGGCACCCAAGAGACCAGTCTCTGTAATGATATCCAAAGCATATTTACGTTGATTAAGAAATATCCCAGAGGAACTTCGGGCAACCTCAAGCCCAAGAAAATATTTAAGCGTACCCAAGTCCTTCATGTGAAAACAAGCATTAAGATAGGATTTAAAACTAGCAATAGCAGCACTATCATTGCCAGAAATAAGAAGATCATCAACATAGACAAGCACATTCAGCTGAATTGTACCCCGAGTAAGGGTAAAAAGGGAATAATCAGCATAGGATTGGAGAAATCCATAACCCTTGAGGGCCGTGACCAACTTGGCGAACCAGCATCGCGGTGCCTGCTTGAGACCATATAAAGATTTATGAAGACGACATACCAAAGTCGGGTCACGAGTTTTGTAGCCAGGTGGAATAGTCATGTAGACTTCCTCTTGTAAGTCACCATGAAGGAATGCATTATGTACATCCATCTGATGTAGCTCCCAATTTTTACAAGCAGCAACCGCAAGAAAAGCACGAACGGTGACCATTTTAGCCACCGGGGCAAAAGTATCTGTATAGTCCAGACCAGCAACTTGCCTATTGCCAAAAATAACCAGGCGAGCCTTGAAACGTTCAATACTACCGTCGGATTTGTGTTTGACTTTGTAGACCCAGCGACACCCCAAGGCTCGTTTTCCAGGAGGTAAAGAAACAAGACTCCACGTAGAATTGTTTTCAAGAGCCTGTATTTCGGCACGCATGGCTTTCCGCCACCCCTCATGTTTGACGGCATCATTAAAATTCCGAGGCTCCGTAACAGAATTAAGAGCTGCCAAATAAGCTAAATGTTTCGGAGAAAATTTATCACAAGTAACATAATGGGTTATAGGGAACCGCGTACCTGAGGAAGATGACGAAACGGGGTGCGCGGGGAATGGACTGTTCTTTATAATGGTGTGTGTTACGTAGTCCTTGAGTCTGACAGAAGGCTTACGATCACGTTGACTCCTTCCCAAAGCTGGCGGCTTCTTTAAAAGAGAGGAAGACGTGGCCTGTAGGGGAATGGTAGTGTCCGCACTAGCAGATGCCACGTGATCATCCTCTTGCATGGCCGAAGATGTGGTGTCAGGTGGTGTGGCAGTAGTACCATGGGAAGAAAAGCTAGAGTAATCTTGAATTAAAATCTCAGGAGCTAAAGTGGTGTCTTCCAAATGTGATAATTCGGAATCTGACAAGCCATGAGCAAAGGGAAAAAGATGTTCAAAGAATTTAACATCTCGGGACACCAAATATTCTCGAGTTTCGATATCATAGACATTCCACCCCTTTTTGCCAACAACATACCCCACAAAGACACATTTGCGGCTTCGACTGAGAAATTTATCGCCTTTGGACCTCATATTAAAAGCATAACATAGGCAACCAAACACCCGCAATGACTTATATCCCGGCGGTACTCCAAATAACATTTCATAAGGCGTCTTAAAATTATGGATAGCCGAGGGGGTGCGATTGATAAGATGAGCAGCAGTTAATACACATTCGCCCCAGAAACTAATGGGTAAATGCCCTTGAAATCTCAGAGCACGTGCCACATTTAAAATATGCCTATGTTTACGTTCAACACGTCCATTTTGTTGGGGCGTGCCGACACAAGAAGTTTGAAAAATAATGCCACTTGTGCAGAAAAAATCTTTCAAACAATTAAATTCAGTACCATTGTCACTTCTCACAGTAACAATTTTCTTGGAAAATTGGCGCTCCACCATAGCAACAAAAGAAAAGAACATTTTAAAGACTTCCTTTTTATCTAGAAGGAGATAAACCCACACGGCACGGGAGTAATCATCTACTATTGTCAGAAAAAATCTAGCACCACACGAAGAAGGGGTATTATATGGACCCCATAAATCACAATGTATCAACTCAAAAATGGCATGAGCCTTATTCAAACTTGTAGGAAAAGAGTCTCTAGTTTGCTTAGCTTTAAAACAAATATCACACGGTAAACCTCCGAAATTCTTCAAACCACTTACAGCTGGAGCCAATTTTTCAAGTACAAGTGGAGATGGGTGACCAAGCCTTTGATGCCACAATTCTGCCCCAACATTCTTGGATTCCTTTATTGCCAAAACTTGAGTTGAAGGTTCCTCCCGCAGATAGTACAGTCCATTCCTTCGTTCACCCGTCCCAATCAGCTTCCTCGAGAGACGGTCCTGAATAACACAGAAGTTACAAGTGAATTGAGCAAAACAATCAAGTTGGTCACTCAGTTGTGACACAGATATAAGATTACAATGCAAATCCGGAACATAAAGTACATTATTTAGAGACAAGTTATCATTTAATATGACACTCCCTTCTTGAGTAGCGACAACAGTCTGTCCGTCCGGTAGTCCAACTGAACATGGTTCAATTGATTTAATTTGGCACAAAAAAGATAAATTGCCACAAACATGATTAGTAGCACCGGTATCTATGATCCATGCATTATCGTTGAACTTACCGGCCATGCGATCATTGGAAGGGGATGAATTACCAAAAAAAGAAAGTAAAGATTTCCATTGCTCGGCTGAGAAGCCTGGCAACGGAGTTGTCAAACCGCTACTGCTTTCACCATCTTTTTGTGATTTGTTTAAGTTTTCAGAGGCTGCAGCAACATGTGCTTTGACCGGTTGTTTTCCGCGAGGTGCTCCAGGAGTATTGGGTTTGCCGCGGCCACCGCCTTTAATTCCAGCCCGGGGTCTGTCCCCCCACCAGTCCGGGTATCCATGGAGCTCAAAACAATTCGTGACTTCATGTCCCGAAAATTTGCAATAAGAACAAATTAAGCTTGACTTGTCCAGTTTCATTCCTCGTCCAGCGCCTTTACCTTCAGTTCGTACAGCAAACCCCAATACTTCTGGCCTATCATCCTGTGCTTGTACGAACCCACGCACACGCTCTTCCTGAGTCATCTGCTGGTAAGCTCGATTAAGAGATGGCAAGGGTGTCTGTGCCAACAATTGGGATCGGGTGTGACCAAAAAAATCAGTGTATAAACCCATTAAGAATTGATGCAAGTGTTCTGAGGCCCTTCGTTTTTCATGCTGTCCCAGAACATCGCAAGTACACCTGTTGCACTTACAAGCAATCAATGGCTCATAATTGTTCAAATCATCCCAAAGTGTTTGTAGTTTTGCATAATAGGTCCCAACTGTCATTCCCTTGGTCTGCACACATCTGGCCAAATCAACCTTCACTTGGTGGATCCTCGGCCCATCAACGGATGAAAATCTCTCCTTGAGATCGTTCCACAATCGGGCACCGTTCTCGTAGCGAGAAAGAGTACTTTTAACTTCCGGCGATATCGTGTTTAAAAGCCACGACACAATCATCGAGTGGATTGTAAGCCAATCCTCTTCGGTACAAGGAGGCGCTGGTTTGTCAATACTTCCGTCCACGAACACATACTTACGTCTCGCACGCAAGGCTAGTCTAATAGCATTCGACCAATCATCGTAATTGTTGCTAGTAAGACGGACCGGGGTGATGAAGTCACCCGGCCGGTCCTGTGGTCCCAGAAAATACGGCGACATATGATCTATCTTTGCCGGAGCATCACCGGACGTGGAATCTTCTTCTCCAGATGGCATAATTGCAGATTAAAATTATAGACGCTCTGATACCATGTTGTTTTTATGTGATGTATGCAGGTAAATGCGTATGTTTAGAGAAGAAGAAACTCAGTAAAAAACTCTATATTGATATATGTGTTCCATTCGGATTTATACAAGTGGGATGCCAAAAAAAAGTGGATCGGCAATCCATAAAATAAGCAAGAGACCAAAAACAGATCCAATTCCATAAATAAAAGATAACTAGTAAATAAAGAATAAAGCTATTCTTCCGTAAATAATATTCTCCAATTATAGCTCCAATATTGATAGATTTTAGATTTTCACATGATGGTGCATATTCCACAACTATGGCACCTTAGATCCATTTGGATGCCAGAGTTTTGTAGGTGTCGGTTTTGATGACAATGTTGATAATATAGTCATATAGGGGACCTCATACTTTTGAGCGAGCTTGTCCCCCTCCGCCGGCTAATTAACTTGCCTCTCATCCACGGAGAATGTAGTCTCCCACTTGCAATTCCCCGGACCGAACTTTGGCATCACAATAAAATTTGACTTGTCGCCAAAGGGAGAGGGGTGTCTCACCCGTCGCTTGCTTTGATGTGTGCGCCATAGATGCAAAATATGTTGTGTAGTTCATCCACCCAACTTCCACCCTTTTCCTCGATCTGTTTCTTGAGGCCTTCCATTATTGCTTATATATGTAAAATAATATACACGGTAAATTAAAAAAGAGAAAAATGTTTATATAATAATTTAAGCGGCCAAGCAGGCGTAGTATAAGTCAATACTAATACCTTGACCTGCTTCATCTTAAAATGTTATGCTCCCATTTTTTATAAAACATATACCAAAATTCTTAATGTTTTATGATCTTTCATATGAAATCAATATTGTTTATACACAAAATTAAAAAAAAAAAATTGAAGTTGCATTTGGTTGAGATTTTTATGTTCAAATTTTTTGTTAAATAAACTCAAGTGCTAAAATTAAAATCTTATGTTTAATTTTTTTTATACATCTTTCAGTAACTTCTTTCAAAAATGGGTCAAAATTAACAACAACAAAATTAAACTCCAAATTTATTTATTTTTACATCAAAATGTTTGTCTTATGTTATTCAACAAAAAAATGACGTATAATAGTAAAATGAAGGATTTAATTAAGAAAAAGTTTGCTTGGTGAATATATTAATGACGCTTAATTGCAGTAAAAACTGAATTGTCTGAATGAATATGTATAAACTGGTGGGAAATTTGATTTATTAATGTAGCTCGGTTGTGGTCGGTTAGCCTAAAGAGAGAAGGAACCTAAGATAAAAAAACAGACTCAGACAAAATAAAACACTTCAATTTTCTTTATTATGTTACAATTTTTTAATTTATGCTCCAAGTTTTACAAAAAAAATACCCAGTATGAAGCTTTAACTATATGGGGTTTTGAGACTAAAAATATTCTAAAATAGATGCAAGTGCTCAAATTATGATTTTGTGGTTAAAAACTTAAACTATTTTTTACATCTTTCAATTACGTAGTATTATTTTTAAATAGAACTGAAGTAAAAATAAAAAATTACAATTCAAATAAACTACGCTATTTATTTTTACATACAAATGCTGGCCTTTTGATATCATAATTATTTGCAAGAAAATTGGCAAAAACAATATGTACTCGCTTAATCCCATTGGATTTTGCCAACTATCCATTTTTTTTGTATCCCAAATTTTTATTCACTTTTCAATTAAAGCAATTAATTTGTGATTTTACTCATTTGACTAATTGATGTTTAATAATAGGTTGAGATATTACCCGAAATAGGACTAAAAGAGTTAGAAAATTCAAAAATAGGACTACCGTGTTTTTATTCCCAAAATAGGATTAATTACTGTCATGTTTTGGCAGTACCAGACTTCAAATATGACAGTATTTTCCAAACTTGGCAGTACTTACTCCTATTTTTGAAATAAAAACATGACAGTCCTGTTTTGGAATTTTCAAACTTTTTTAGTCCTATTTCGGGGCTAGCAAAGTTCACCAGAATGATGATAACATACTAAAAAAATAAGTCTTAAATTTGAAAAAACTTTATCATGTGAATATATTGACGATAGTGAATTGCATGAGAAAACTGGAATTCACAGTGCGAATACATATAAATTGATGAAAATTTGATTTATTGAAGAAGGTTATAGTTAACCTAAAGTGACATTGATATATATTCTTTGGATACCTCAAATTCGATCAACCACTATCAAGAAAGAAACATTTTATATATCTACAAAAAGTGTACAATCATTGCATACACCACCTAATTACTTGTGTAATAACTTACTCCCTCCGTCCCTTGAAACTTTGCCAACTTTCCTTTTTTGGATGTCCCATTAACTTTGCCACTTTCCCTTTTAAGTAAAGAATTTGTGGTTCCAGTTAATTCTCTCTCCTCTGCACAAACCTCAACCACACAGTTTTTACTTTATTAATCCCCGTGCCAGTCAAACTTGACAAAGTTTTAAGGGACGGAGGTAGTATTTTGTAAAGAACATTGATTATTTGTGTACATAAGCACACCAGTGTACAAAAGTTTACACTATTTGGGTACTCCAAGAATTACGGATCAAGAAGTTCTAACAATTTTAACTTGGCAATGTTAACCTTTTAACTTCCACAGTTCCACGCTATGCATCATAAATGCACGTATCTTTTGTTGTGATAATGACGTATGCACATGCGTTAATTACTCCCTCCGTATCACATATATCTTCCCACTTCAAAAGTGGGTGAGATTAAGAATAGTGAAAGAGGATATGAATTATTGAGGGTATGATGGGAAGATAGTGAAATAATGTGATGGAATGAAGGATAAATCCAAAAAAGTAGGTGTAATAGTGTATTGTTTTTTAAATTATTGAGGGTATAATGGGAAGATTTAGAAATGGGAAGATATAAATGTTACATCCAAAAAAGGAAAGTGAGAAGATATGAATGTTACGGAGGGAGTACAATTTATTTATCAAATTGTAAGAATCGGAATGTACGGAGGATGTTTCCAGGCAATGATTTTAGTAGTCCCTAACTCCCTATTCCTGTAGACCTAAACAATCTTTTGTCAGGAAAGAAAATTTATTTTTATTTGTAATAAAAACAAAAAAAAATTGTCATCCTCTACCGGGCGGGACGTCTAATGAAATTGGGGCCCCCAAATTTGGTAGACCCATTCCAGATGACCTATTCAACATGTTAAACAAATGCCTTGTTCTCGTGGGATCGAGGTCCTCTGCCTTGCTTTGGCAGGCAAGGAGGGTGTCTGGCCATTTGTAGCCATCGAATAAAAAAAAGCAATGGTATAAGATCATTTGGTCCATTTTTGACACAAATCTCGATGCCTGAATTATAATCCTAGCCCTTTATTCAGTGGTGGATCTAGGCATTAAGGGACAGTGTATGCACTAATACACATATATGTAATATAGTAATAGTAGTGTACATACTATACTACATGAGAATAGTTATTGTAGTCAAATACATGACTTTTTATGTACGGAATTTAAAGATTATATTCTTATACTTCGTATTTCATTAACGAACACTTTTTTAATTCATAAGAGCAAAATTTAATATTATATCTGCGATGTTTTACTTGGACTGAAATTTGTTGGTCTAACCTGGTTTGCTCGGGTAAATGTCTGATCTTTGGATATTTCATAACTATGAAAGTTTAATCTTATATATATGGTCAGTTTAAATATGTGGTTTGATCTGGGAAAGAAAGCTGTCCAAGTAAACGCATTCTTGATAGGGGTGAGTTCGGTTCTTGCGGTTCGGTTTTGACCTAAAACCAAATGTAGAATCAAAGTAAAAAGTTCGGTTCGGTTTCGGTTCGGTTTTACACTACAAAACTTGGAACCACGGTTTGATTGGTTCGGTTTGTTTCGGTTCGGTTTCGGTTTTTTTGGTTTTTTTACCAAAATTTTTTCACTTGATTTTAAATTGATGTAATACTTAGAGGGATCAAACATATTACATAAAGAATTCAAGCACAATATAACGAAAAACAAAATAAAAATGAGAAGAGATAAATATGTCTTGAATTATATGAGTATGCGAGATAGATAAAACTGTATATATTATTGATTTAATTTGTTTGTGAGTAGTTTGAAAATTTTTCATGAATATATATGTTCTATGTGATATAGTTGAGATTAATATTTATTATTTTATCAATATAAAATCTTTAAGTTAGCTAAAAATAAAAGTTAATTACTACTAATAACTAGTAAACACATATGATCATCATTCAATATAGCTATTATTACAGACAATGAATGTGTAAATGAATTTATAAACTAAATTAAATTAAACATAACACAAACATTATTTCTCTAACACAAGAAAACCAAAGACTATTGATGATATTAAGATTAACTAGAATTAATGCTTAACAATTAACATATAAATTTCATATTTTAAATAGTTCGGTTTGTTCGGTTCGGTTCGGTTTTGAAGGATAAAAACCAAAACCGAATCGAACAACTTCGGTTCGGTTTGGTTTTTTACATTCGGTTTCGGTTTCTTAGCGGTTCGATTTTATTTGGTTGCGATTCGATTTAATTTGATTCGGTTTTCGGTTTTCGGTTTTTCGGACCCAGCCCTAATTCTTGATGGTTTAAATGCTAAATATATTGATACTTGAGAGACTATAATATAGACATGTTAAAATAGTGCTCCGTAATAAGGATTTCATCATTTATTTATTTTTATAGAACTAAAAAGCCTGAAACGAGAATTCAAACCTGATAATGCTCCGTACTAAACGATATTTCATAACTATGAAAGTTTAATCTTAGTTTAAATATGTGGTTTGATCTGGGAAAGAAAGCCGTCCAAGTAAACGCATTCTTGATGGTTTAAATGCTAAATATATTGATACTTGAGAGACTATAATATAGACATGTTAAAATAGTGCTCCGTAATAAGGATTTCATCATTTATTTATTTTTATAGAACTAAAAAGCCTGAAAACTCAAACCTGATAATGCTCCGTAATAAACGAGAATTCAAACCTCATTTATTTTTATAGAACTAAAAAGCCTGAAACGAGAACTCAACTCCATCATGGCATCATCCCATACCGCCCATAATGCTCCGTAATAAATTACAACAAAAGTAGAAAATGTATAAACACATTAGCCATTTCAAGAAGGTAAGGGAAGCACTCAAAAACAAAACTAACATGTAGCATCAGGGTGAATCGATCCTTCGATCCTGTAGCCCTAGAAGAACTTCAATTGCCTCATATTACCACATAAGTTAAACACAATTTTTGAACCGGTGGGCGTACGTAGCTCAACTGGTAGCGAGGGATTGCCACAAGGGTTAGGTCTCGGGTTCCAATCCCGACAACTGCGATGATGAGTTACTATGCTGAATAATGCATAGGACTTCTGCAAGTACCGGGGACAGAGCCGCACTCTCTATCTGTTAGATTATGATTATAGTCCAATTTACATCCTCTCATCGTGTCGTCCGATCGGTGTTGGGGGGCCCTTAGGGATGGGGTGTCATCCTTTTTTTTTTTTCTAAACACACTTTTTGAGGTGTAGCCTATGCTTACCCTCCTTATAGGGTAGGTCCGCCCCCGCCTTCATTTAAGTAAGGTACTCTACCATAAGGTAGAGGATCTTAATCTGTTCCCATGCTGCCTCCAACCATCAGAAAAAATTAATGCCTGTCTCATTGTAAGAATGACATTTTAATAGTATCTACAGTATTGTCTTCAAAAAAAGATAAAAAGACTAGTACTTCGTAGCCTAGTTAGCTTTTTTCCGTTTTAAACGCGTTTTAAACACGTACCATTTTTTTGACAAAAAAACACGTTTAAAAAGGGGGGAAATGTCGGTCCGTTTAAAAAGGAAAAAAAACTCCTACTTCCCGTATAAAACGTATTTTTCCCGTATTTTACAAAAAACATAAACATGAATTGACCAATTGAATGAATGTACTAAATGCATAGAAGATCAACAATAGTGTAAAAGTATAAATGAAAACGTCCTCCCCACGATCTCGTGTTTTTGTATTGTTACAGTGCAATTATTAAATACTAAAATTAATTACATGATGGCTAAAGCTAGCATCCTGAAATATTAAAACTTACGTAGTAATATACTACAAGATTTTTGATGTTTTTTCAAGCTAGCATATCAAAATTAAGATTTTTCTAAACCTACCGTTTTTTAACATAAACTTTTACACAAACAATAATAAGTGTAGCAATCACACAACTTTTGTCATATGTCATATGTCATCTTAATGAAAATGATGAGTTAAACTTGAGTGTTACTTGATAATCATATAAAGATAATGATTTTTTGACATTATTTTTCAAAATTATGTCTTGGACTTGATTACTGTTTTTATTTTTGTCATCGACTTAAGCAATTACGAACTATTCTTGTATGTAGTAATGAGATTTGCTACTTGAATATGTGTATACTTCTATTTCTTTTTTACTATATATGTTATTTTATGAAATATATCATTTCAATGTTCAAAATAATACCCGTATTTTTCGTCCGAATTTTTGTAATAGACAACGTATTATACACGTATACGTATTTACACGTTTTTTAAAAGTCAACGTTTTTTTCAACAAATTTTTGACCGTTTTTTTCATTCATGTTACCGAATAAAACGCTTACGTATTAAACCTCGTTTAATTCCCGTACCGTATTCAACTAACTAGGCTTCGTAGTTTATTTGGCATTTCCGTTCGTCACAGAAAGAAAAGATGATATCTTCTACCTTGATTATAACAAATACGGACATTGATTATAATAAATATCAATAATGACATGATATATATTGCCCTCTATCTTTGTGATATTATAATGTCATCATCAATACATACATACTGCTATGGCTGAACCAATAGAAACCGATAAATTGAAACTGATCGACAAACTAATCAGAACTAAACTCATGAAAACATGACTTAATTGATCAAAACCGCGTAAACCGATCAAAACATGGCAGAAACAATCGAAAGTTAGAAAAGTGAGAAAAAACGATTTTTAAATCTAAAAGCATGGCTTTTTCAAAGAAAATTATGTCATTTTCAAAATGTAATCATTTTATTTTGATAAAGATATGTCATGAAATTAGCGATTTTCAGATTCTTGTCCAATTTTGATAAATAATTGGTAAAAAAGGAATGATGAAAATCATCTTTGATAGAGATCGAGCTGTAAAATATGCTGCATAGGGTTGGGGAGAGAAAAATAAAGTTAAAGTGACAATAGCAACTGGAATTGCAAATGCAGCAGTCTGGCTCTCATTATAAATATGACACATTTGCTACATCATTCCCCTAATCCCTTGCTACCACACACATCAGCTCCCAAATTAAGAATTATATATATAAATATACAGCATCATTAAAACATTATTAGCTAACTAACCACACACCTAAGTACAGGCGCTAAAATGGCTCTAGGAGAAAAAACAAAATGGTTCTTTATTGTAGCAGGGAATGTTCTCACAGCAATTTGTGGGATCATGGCCATAGTATCCCGTGTTAGTCCTTTTCTCTTTAGCAACTTTTTTTATATATACTCTGTGCGTGCCTCTTCCCTTATAATTTTGCCAATCTTTTGCTTTTGAATTATTCCAAATACTTTGACGCTTTCCTTTGTAATTAATTATGACTTGATTCTTTTGGGAAGTGTATTCGTTTTAGACATTTTAGCACATCTAGGATTTGTGTAATGTTGGTGTATTTAAACACGACATTTTAGAACTCCCTACGTGAGATATGTAATCACGGGAAGAATGCCTCTATTTTCATTTTGTTCAAAAACTGGAGCTGTACTATATGCGATCTGGTTCTATCCTTCATTTTTGTTAGGTTTTTATTTACCTCCCCCACTATAAAATTGACTCTAGAGGTTGGTCCAAGATAGCAAGTAGGATCGCTGCAAAAGTAAAGTAAAAAGGAAAGTATTTTTAACTAATAAATTTATTTTTACGGGAAAAAGTTACAGAGTATATAAATAAAGTCCATAAATGTTAAGATCCGGGGTTCCATCCTAAAAGGTCAAACTGTTAGGAGGAGGAGCCTGTGTGTTAATATAGCACTTCGTTCATCCAAACTTTTCTGGTGTGGGACATTTAACACCCCTCCTCACGACCAGACACTTCGTCTGGATCGTACCATCATTCATATTTTTTTTCATCGGTCCGTCTTTTTCATCCGGCCGTAATTGTCATTTTTTTTATAAATCATTTTTCATAAGGGGCCCCACATCATGGATCGATTTGGCTCTGATACCATGTTAAGATCTGGGGTTCCATCCTAAAAGGTCAACCTGTTAGGAGGAGTAGCCCGTGTGTTAATATAGCACTTCGTTCATCCAAACTTTTCCGGTATGGGACATTTTACAATGAATGTCTTAATTTGTTTTCTATCTAAATCCATACAAATCTGGCCAAGTCTCCTGAAATTCCATGTTTCTAAAAATCCTAGAATATCTTAAAATGTCTAAAATGAATACAGCTTCCTTAACTTATCTCCTCCATGCACAAATTTCAGTAGCACAATTTTTGATTTATTACGTAGTATTTTTTATGATGACGTTCAAACTAACTTAGAAAAATTGTAAAGGAGATATGGAGTATTGGGTAATGTGTGGCAAAGGGAGAATTTCCAAGACTCAAACTTATGCAAATTCTTAAAATATGATTATGGATTATTGTTTCCCAATATATGATCACATCCATATGGAACGACATAAGAAAAAGAAAAATGTCACCTATTAGGAAGAAATATACTCTCTCTAAGAGTCCATTCGACTTTGTCAGTTTTCATTTTCTTTTGACCCAAGAACTTTGTTATTTTCATTAAAATTATTGTGTGATTGTAGATACTCCCTCCTTATTTATTTCTCCTATACACGACACTTCGACACACGACTTTTGTTTTACTTATGGAAAAATTGAAAATAATAATCTCAACTATTGCCGGTCCGCTAACAATAATCCCAACTATCGAATAAAGTTTTTTTTTTCTTTTAATTTTATTTTTATTTTTTTTGAATAAAGATAATACCCGAGTATATGTTATGTTGTTTAAAATACATAAATAATTTTCTCTAATGGGTCTAGTATCTGTTGCAGGGAGACACTGTAGTTGCGGTTATAGCAGCAATTTGTATTGTTTTTAGTCTTACAGCTCTTGTTATTCTTGGATATCCCGCCGGTCGCACAATCATCTGGCCATATTCGGACCACGCGGTGCTTTATTGGATCACATGGTATATAACAATAAACAATAGAGTACTACCCATATATTTCCTCTATTTCTTAAAGCTTTATCAAATTGGATATACTAGATATTAATAAAGTAAAAACTTACTCCCTCCGTCCCCTTTTAAATGACCCGGAGGAGGGTGGCACGGGTTTTAAGAAAAGTGGGTTTGTGTGGTTGATATTAATTGATAAAGTAAGAATAAAGTAAGAATGATTTTGAGCCACACAAACTTTACCAAATAAGGTATGTGACATTTAAATAGGGACATCCCAATATGGTAAAACGGGACATTTAAAAGGGGACGGAGGGAGTATTCCGTACAATATTTGTGTAAATAACTTATTTGCGTATATGCTCCACTCCATCTAGCCAAGTTCGGACCAAATGTGATTAGAGTAATAATGAAATTATAGTAACTTATATTCAAGTTTTAAACTTAAGTTATCATGACACTAGATTGTAGTAACTATAAATCATACTCCCTCCGTCCCTTATAACTTTGCCAACTTTCCATTTTTGGATGTCCCAATAACTTTGCCACTTTCCCATTTAAGTAAAGAATTTGTGGTTCCAGTTAATTCTCTCTCCTCTACACAAACTTGAACCACACAGTTTTTACTTTATTAATTCCCGTGCCGGTCAAACTTGGCAAAGTTATTAGGGACGGAGGGAGTACTCCGCATTTACGTAAATAACTTTTATTTTAGGAATATTATTGGAATAATCCCATTATTATACTATATTTTTGGGGTGTGTAGGCTGTGTACCATCGCAGGAGGTTTCTGTGTAGTGGCACCATTAACGATCATCACTGTTGCTGTCAAAAATATTATCATCGGCCTTGGAGTTTTTCTTTGCATCTTGGCCGCGTTTATTGCTGTTTGCTACTTCATAACAACTTCGGACTCTTCATGATCATCAAATCAAATGTGCAATTCAACTTCTCTAAATAATAGTATAATCCGCAGTATGACAATTTTGTAGAACAAACTAGCTAATTGTCCATGTTATCCAATTCTGAAAACAATCTATTTCGTCAATTACTCAGGTAAGGCTATTCAAGTTATCCAGATTATGTTTCTGTTTCGCTTTCTCTTGTAATAATTGAGTGTGAATCGATGTCTATAAGGATGTTTTCTTTTGGACTGTTTTCAGTCCCAGACCAGACCAGACCAGACTTAAACAGACCAGACCAGACTTAAACAGACCAGACCTGAATTTCTTAGTTATAAAATACACAGAGACCAGACGTTTACCAGACCAGACCAGACCAGACCAGTTCAGATCTGACCAGACCAGACTTAACCAGACCAGACCAGACCAGTTCAGATCTGACCAGACCAGACTTAAACAGACCAGACCAACAAATTTCAGTCCAAAAGAAAATATCCTAAATGTATTGTCCGATTGGTAGGATCCGAGTCCGGTAATCTTAATCATTTACTCTTTGTCTCCTGTCTTTATAAAATTTAATTAATGCGGCATCACCGTCTTTAATTTTGTACTCCCATCCCTTGAAACATGGCCATGTTTGACCGGCTTGAGGAGTAAGGTTGATGTTTGTGCAAAGGAAAGAGGGAATAAATTAAAATTATAAGTTTCTTACTTGAAAGACAAAGTGGCAAAATTAGTGGCACAACAAAAAAATAAAAACTTACCAAATTAAGTTTCAACGAACGGAGCTGAGTACATACGTACTATATTTTCACAATTACTTTCTATTTACTATATATATATTGGGGGTGTTTGGCAATTGGCGGTTGGCTGTTAGCTGTTGGCTGGTTGTGTTGGCCGATTGATGACAGCTGATTATGTTGGCTGTTTTGATTGGCCGATAGTATTAGCGGTTTGTAGATTGGTGTTTGGTTAAATGACTGTTTACAACCGGCTGATAACTTGTCGAATGACTTTTAAGGACATCAATTAGTTTTTTATTTACTAACTTATTAATTAGCGGTATGTGTGATATGTATATTTTTTTTGCTAATTTCGAGTTCAATTCAAAAGAACAAAAATATTCAATTGCAGATGAGAATCATAAGTAGCTCTTTCCGTTTTTTGAAGGTAACGACGATTAGGGCTAGCTCTTTCATGTCTCTTTTCCTCTCCTTGCTGCAATGGTTTCCATGGAGTCATGGATCGAGACCATTCCATATATAATTATATATATTTATATATGTACTTATATATAGATATATGAAGTACCTGCAAGTTATTTTTTTCTTAAGCAAGATGTCGCAGAACAGCCGAGAGGAGAAAAAGAGCACTGGGTAAAATAGGAACGTCCGCTATTTTCTTGAACGGCCGCTACCTAAACGCTGCTTTTGTTAGCATTTTACATTTTGGCTGTTTGGGATAAAAAGCCAAATGAAAAAGCCAATTTACCAAACACCCTTATTAGCTGATTGGTTTGGTCAAAAGGCTAATAATGGTCAAATCAGCCGAAAATTGGCTGATAGGCTCCTAACCAAACACCCCCATTCTATTTTTTCAAATTAAAACACTCCTAGAATGTGAGTTGCTGCAACATAATTACTATATCCCAATATCAAAATATCGGATTATCGGATGTCCCCGAAGGGACTCCCAATATCAAAATATGAAAACTAACTAAGTAATTTAATACACATAGAATTTGGTAGCGCTTATGTGTATTGAAAATTGCCTAGTATCACAAGCGAAGTAAGACCTATTTCAATAGGGAGCTTCTTCTTGTACCCACTATTGTACCCACTATTGTACCCACCATGTCTTCATAGACATATTTTTGTCTATGACCGAAATTCACAGACAAAAAAAAAACTCCTCACAGACATGGTGAGTACAAAAATGGGTGCAATAGTGGGTACAAATAGTTTTTTTGATTTCAATATTCATAAAGTCTCTAGAACGTATGTGCACTAACTAATTTCTATACGGGCCTGGTTACCCATCAATGGGCCGATTGAATGGCCCCACTAAGAATGGGGCATCTTGGGTCGGTCCTGCTGAGTAGCCAATTCGTGTCATGGGCCCTGCTTGCATTACTCCTGATCATTGGGCTAAACAACCCACCAATATTCGCTTTAACCCACAACCCCATCAATACCAATAAATAGATTATTTTTTAAAGTCAAAGTAAAATGATGCAAATATGTAAAAGTAAAAATTAACAGTCTCATAAAAGCAAAAAGAGAGAAGTGGTCAAAGGTGCAACTTAAAGTGTATCATGAATGTCATCAACTCATCATGCAATTAAAAATATAGCATGTCAAAAATTATTGGAAAAATTGAAAATAATAATCCCAACTATTGCTGGTCCGCTGATAATAATCCCAACTATTGATTATTTTTGTATAATCCTAACTATATGGACCGTCTGCCAATAATGGTCTATGACCAGATATTACCTCCTAAAAAAGTGAATTTTAAATAGAAATTAAGTGTAAAAATTAAAAGTTGAGATTATTTATAGAGATTACTTGCTATATCTCTCTTCATCCACTTCAGAAACTACAAGAATTTATTTATAGGGACCATTATTGGCGGAAGGTCCCTAAAGTTGGGATTATTCTGAAATAATCGATAGTTGGGATTATTATAAGCGGACCGCCAATAGTTGGGATTATTACTATCAATTTTTCCAAAATTATTTTTGACAAAAGGTCAACATAAACTGTGTCCATCATTTTCATTCGTACTAGCGAAAAAGATGGAATTGTTTATATTAAAAATACGCATACTAGAATGTTTTTTATAAAGAACGTGTACTAGAATCTTAAAAAACTGCACCCTTCAAAATAATATAAACATGTTGGTAAAACATAATGGCATACTATGTACGTTCACATGTTAAGATAATAATCATATAATTCCAGTTAAAAATTATGACATTTTCAAATGAAATTATGGGCATTGCAGACTGAAATGTGATAAAATGATGATAAAATCACAAAAAGAGAAAACAGTTTTCAAATCGTCGAAAACCATTGCATCGCGTTTTCAAAAGTAACTTGAGAATATTAAAAAAATGTTACTAACTCCAAAATATATTTCATTTTTAGCTTTTGTATTTGGTTGTCTAGTATCATAGGTTCATATTTTTGTATTTAAATACCCAAGTTTAAGACCTTTTTCCGTCAATATTACTAAAATAAATTTAAAAAAAAATATGATTTATTTTAAAATTTTCCAAAAAAAATTGACATATTTAGTTACTAGTTCACAGTGACTCGTCATCTGAAGTGACTTGTCATTCTAAAATATACTATATCGATTAGTTTATACTCCCTCCGTAACTTTAAAATCTTCCCACTTCAAAAGTAGGTAGATTAAGAATAGTGAAAAAGGATATGAATTATTGAGGGTATGATGGGAAGATAGTGGAATAATGTGATGGAATGAGGGATAAATCCAAAAAATGTAGTTGTAATAGTGTATTATTTTCAAAATTATTGAGGGTATGATGAGAAGATTGAGAAATGAGAATATTTTTTTGTTACGGACGAAAAAGGAAAGTGGGAAGATTTTTTTGTTACGGGAGGAGTAGTAACTAGTCATATTTTTGTTCAAAAGCATAACTAGTCATATTTTTCCCCGGAAAACTCTATTAATAATATACATGTTATTTTTTTTCAAGTTCAATTTGATCAACAAATGTGTTTATATTATCTTTTATTGTAATAGTCATGTATAAGAGCGGGCAAAGAATGATTTTGTAGTAGAATGAAAGTGGCCAAATCCGTACCATATATATATATATATAGATTTTGGTTCAGGTGAGAAATGCATCTAATGTGAGAAATGAGAATGAATCTCAGCCATTGGATTTACGAAGTTGCACTAAAATTGGCTTTATGTTGCAGTAATATTTAAATTTTGCACATGTTGCACTAAAACTGTTTCATTTTGCACTAATATTTGACGGCGTTGCACCGAAATAGCTTCATGTTGCACTAGACACGTGTAATATGGATTTTTCAGAAGTATTTACAGAAATGCCACCGTGCTAGATTGCATATTTCAGTGCATCATGAAGTGTCTTTTACTGCAACTTAGTCGAATCCAATGGCTGAGATTCATTCTCATTTCTCACCCAAAGGGTTCTTCTCACTTGAACCTTACCCTATATATATATATATATATATATATATATATATATATATATATAGAGCTCTTCTCATCAGGCCGGCCTGACGGGCTGCCCCGTCCGGACGAGCCCGTTTGGGCACCTTCCCGATGGAATTTTTTGATGAAATTTTTTGAGCATGTTCCTCATCAAGTCTAGTTTGTCCATACCAAATTTCAGCTCAAAATGCGATCGGGAAGGTCGTCAAATGATTTTTGCAAGTTAACTGGTCCGGAAAATACATATTACGGACCAGTTAACTTGCAAAAATCATTTGACGACCTTCCCGATCGAATTTTGAGCTGAAATTTGGTATGGACAAACTAGACTTGATGAGGAACATGCTCAAAAAATTTCATCAAAAAATTCCACCGGGAAGGTGCCCAAACAGGCTCGGCCGGACGGGGCAGCCCGTCAGGCCGGCCTGACATGAAGTTTACTCATATATATATATAGAGAAAACTTCTCATCAGGCCGGCCTGACGGGCTGCCCCGTCCGGCCGAGCCCGTTTGGGCACCTTCCCGGTGGAATTTTTTGATGAAATTTTTTGAGCATGTTCCTCATCAAGTCTAGTTTGTCCATACCAAATTTCAGCTCAAAATTCGATCGGGAAGCTCTCTATATATATATAGAGAGCTCTTCTCATCAGGCCGGCCTGACGGGCTGCCCCGTCCGGCCGAGCCCGTTTGGTCACCTTCCCGGTGGAATTTTTTGATGAAATTTTTTGAGCATGTTCCTCATCAAGTCTAGTTTGTCCATACCAAATTTCAGCTCAAAATTCGATCGGGAAGGTCGTCAAATGATTTTTGCAAGTTAACTGGTCCGGAAAATACATATTCCGGACCAGTTAACTTGCAAAAATCATTTGACGACCTTCCCGGTCGAATTTTGAGCTGAAATTTGGTATGGACAAACTAGACTTGATGAGGAACATGCTCAAAAAATTGCATCAAAAAATTCCACCGGGAAGGTTCCCAAA